TTTTCATTACTAAAAATAAGTAGGTCATTATTATTTATGCAGTTTTTGCATGATTGGATTCCCAGTGAAAAGGGAGCAACATTAATAATTTAAAAATGTAATATGTCTTACCCATTTATCCCTTTCACCTTATAGAAGAGGTTGTGATAAAATAGTTTTATTTTAATGCATTTTGTAATTTCATCTGTCATGTCACATTTGCTCATCCTGATGTAAAAGTCTTCCCCGAAAGAGAAGCAGGAAAGCAGCAAAATAGAGATAAGCATTGTCAAAGTTCATGAAACATTTAGTGTTGAACTGTACACATTCACTACATTGTTAATTGATTGTGGTTTTGTGGCAGCAGCTGAATTACTACTGGGAAGGATGATATCTCTCCTCTCTGTTTGTGATGCCACATTGGTGATGTAGTCTTGTACTGAAAGGACAAAAATCCTTGCCAGGGACAGTTTGTAATTCGGAAGTACATGGAATATCAAATACATGTTGAATTTCACCATGTATTCTGTAATCATTTTGAATTTTTAAAAACATTGTGGTTCTTTGTGCTTTGCTGTTTATTTTAGCGATCGAGGCAATCTTGTTTGAAGTTTAATCACATAACTAAAATTACACAGTAAGTTCAAATAAATTTTAACCTGTTTTTAATAGTTAAATAATTTGAGCCCTAGGGACAAAAGGCCAAGTAACTTAAAAATATACATAGTTTTATTATTTATTGTTTAAAACTAAAAAGTTTATATTTCTAAGAAACTGGTGTGTTTTAGGTACAGCCAGTGCCATTAGTACAGTGACAGTGTACAGTATTATATCTGATGACTGCTTATTGATGAGAGTCTGATTTCCTGCTACATTATCACAGACCCACTATAAGTCAGTGATCATGTCAGTGTAAGTTAGTTAGTTAGTGTACCAGTGAGGGTCTGTTAGCACCAGATTGCCCACACACTATCACAGTCGCACAGTCATTGAACAACGCTATTAACAGTATAGCATCATAGCTACCTAAATTCCTGTATGTATACCATAGTTTGAAGATGCTATAACTTTCATACAAAACAATTAACATTCACCTACTGGGATTTATTTCTTTACCAAAACATGTAACAAACTACATTTTGGTCTAAATGTATGAAGAAATTAGATTTTTTATTTTTTTTAATTGAATATGTTTTATAACATAAATATATTTTTTCTTTTCAATATGTTCATTCTTTTTTTATTTATATAATAAAAAAATCCAGTGGTGATCAAATATCACCAAAAGACAGCTCTATTTCTATTAAAATAATGATATAATTTTTTTGGGTACAGTGTTGCATGACCAAGCAATTGCCAGTTAATGTACTGTAGCAGAGTGCTGAAATAATGGAAATGACCCTAAGGCTGCTTCATCCCTGATCAGCAGTGGCTGATCAGAGGTGCAAAAGATTTTGTAACCACTCTGAATAGTAATGTTTCCACCAGGGGCGGACTTACCATTTGGAAACTCGGGCACTGCCCAAGGGCCCGGGGTCAGTAGGGGGCCCCATGAGATGCCCCTGGTACCTTTTTCATAGGCTTTTTTGAGTTTGGGCAAGGACACAGGGGCCCCATGATCCCCTATTCCCGGGGGCCCCATGAGTTGTCAGTCCGCCCCTGGTTTCCATCTTTGCAAATTTACAATATATAACATCAAGTTGCTTATACATCGCAGCAATCAGAGTTGGATTATCTCTCACTCTCTCCTGCACCCCTCCATATTGGAATTGAATATCCATAGGTATTGCCCGGGGGGCTACAATTCCACCTACTAGGTCTCAGGTAGCCATTTTGCCTCCTTGAGGGACAAACATGATGCCATGTGGTCCATGGGTTCCAGGGTCAACCTTGAATGACCTCCTATATATGTATCTTTGCCGATAAATGTACCTTTTTACATTTTCCCCGATGAAGATTATATCACATCTAATTGAAACTCGTTGATGACAAATTGAACTATAACAATGTGTCTGTTAAGTGGCTATGCTGTCTATTGCTATTGTTATTGCTGTTTGATTATATATCAAAAAGGTTTAAAGGTACAGATTGTAAGCATTTTTAGCCAAAGAGACATTTGTTTTTATGTCTTTTAGGATTCATTTTGTACTAATAAAAAATATTTTTTATGGATTTATGGTGCTATGGCTGTATTTAAGTCTCATGGGAGATGATTTTTCTTCACACAGTGCTGAATAGCAAAAAATGTCCTGGTCATAAAGGGGGTAAAACCTTCTGGAGGTCAAGTAGTTAAGGTATGGAATTCTATTTCCTAGGGACAGAGAGAAGGGCATTAAAGCTTTATCTTCTGAAATTTTCTCCGTTAAACAGTCGCATGACTGACTATTGTCCTTTAAGCAGTCACATGACTAGCTATTTTCCTTCATAAAATAGTGTATAATGGTGGAGCCATTTCTGCTTACCTTTAATTTCCATGTCTAGAAAGCCTGATTCAATTTATTTCTTAATGTTTGATACACATTGCCTTCTTATTCATGGTATTCATTTTAGCATAGCGTTCACTATGGAAATTTATATGAGAGTCAAAGTACAGTATATTTAAATAAACATTTTGCAGTAGACCATTATAGGTTTCTTCTAAGTATCACTTACTTGCAGACTTTATACATCACCAATGTTCCGCTCTTAATGTACCTTTTTTTTGTTTTGTGTTTTTATTTAAAAAAAAAAAAAAAAAAGAATTACACAAAATAGAAACATTTCAAAAAGACTGTAGCTAAATTACTTAAAGTGGTTGTAAACTCAAATATAAAAAAAATACTTTTTGCCGTAAATGAATGCATTTTAATGTAAACATACATACAGCTGTGAGTGTACCTCTGCAAAATGATCCCTTAGCTTGTTTTAGCCCTCCAAAAACTGCTGGTCTGTGGGCGTGGCTTAGGACCAGAGAATAGTAGGTTGAGATGTGATGTCACACAATCCCCCAGTCATACACACCCTCCAGCCTCAGCTCAAGAATGTGCACAGCAACCTGACATGTCTATGCCTTTGAGCATGTCTCTTGAGTGCATTCAGGGGAATAGGCAGGTGCCAGTGACTATGTCAGCTCTGCAGGATCTGTGCTAATCAGGAGAAAGCTGTAAAGAAGGGGTTAATAGTAAAACAATCTTTTCTTGATCCTAGGAATCCTGCAGTCTAAAGTGGCAATGTGAACCAGAAAACATTCTGATGTACAACTCTGTAAACAGTAATTCACAAGCTAGGTGCTGTGAATAGAGCAGGACAACAATCAGCTGTCAGCAGACATACTTCGTTAGGGGAGCCTGTCAGGAGCTCAATCTTTCAAAGGCAGAGAGCAGCAGGGAGAGGACACCCGCCCCATCCCCCCCCATGCAGTGTATCACATGGAGGCTCACACTGGTCTCGTCTTCAGCACAGCCTGTCACTCACAGGAGAAGGGGAGTGGCGACACCATTTTTCTGCTTTTGTTGGGTTTATTTTGTTCAGAAGAGCAGGGAGAATTTCTGGAGAAGTAGATAGTTTCAATATACCAAACTAAGCTCAAATGCTGAACCCCTAAGGTTAAAACAAATCTAAATGCCTAAGCACAATTTTACAATGTTGACATGTGTTAGTAAAACCGTACATATCAACACAACTACTTTGTACATCCAGGTGAATTATACATTTTTTTTTTCAGGACAAATTGGGCTTTCATTTGGTGGTATATGGTAATGGATATCTTCTGAATTTTTGTTATTATCAAAGGAAAACTGACACAAAATAGTAAAAAAAAAAGTTTTTTTTATTTAGCTGTGTGTTTCTACCATAACCTACCTCCAAAGAACAACCCAAAATAAATTCTCCAGCTCTTGACAATCGCAGCAATACCATATATGTGTATGTTATTTGTTGTTTGTACCCATAGTACAGCCCAGAAACAATAGTGCACATTTTTTTTAAATCCTGACCTTTGACCTTGAACTTTGACTATGACCTTGCCCCAAACACTAACCCTGGCAATGAACTAGATCAAACCTTGATCTAGGTATTTTTTCTTTTATTTTTTAATATTTATTTATTTATATATCATTTTATTTTTTTTCCCAAAATGTTTTTTTCCTCTCTATGCCAGGAGTTAGAGAGATACAATGTAGAGAGAGAAAAAAACAAGGGGCAAGGCTGTACAATGACTGATCACTGTGATAGCTAATCAGAGGCTATCACAGTGATCATGTGACCCGGAGTCGGGAGTTCCGGTTCCCGATCATTAGAATGGGACCCAGTGCTCTCAGTGACACTGTGGTCTTTGTGCGGCGCGCTCCCCAGCACGAAGACAGGTACGCAAATATGCGGCCCCATGGAAAAAAGCCCAGTTCTGTGAGGCCGCATATTTGTGTTACTTCGGCGTCAAGGGGTTAATAAAGGTAAAATCTATTCAACTGTAGGATTAGATTGATTTGTGTTTTTCAGGTTTGCAACCACTTTAATTAGTAATTTTATTTAGATGAATTCAGCCTATGTTTAATTTACAGAACCCTCAAGGAAATTAAAAAATAGAAGTTATCCTGAAACCCAAATGGATTTCTCAAACAAATGTTTGCTGAAGCACCAGAAAAAAATTACTTGATATTAAATAATACCTTTAATATTTTACTGCATCAAGTCTCATTGACCTTCTCTTTTATGCTGAAATAAAGAAGGATTAAACATAAAAAAATTCTACCTTTGGCTTTGAAGTAAGCAGATAAATAAGTAAGTAAATGCAAAGGTCATTTAAGTTTGTATCATATTATCTGTTTCAGTCTGGGGGGCAACCTTTCTGTGTTAGTATATCAATAAACATACACAACCTCAATGAAATGCCAGTTAGGAGATAACATTTTACTGTGAAAATAAAAAAATCTTTCTGACATCACTGTCAAGTTACAGGAATTTGTGCCTTGAATGTGCAAAATAGTTGTGGTATTAGCAGAATTATACAAGTGTTTGGAGACAAACAGTGGCGGACTGACAACTCATGGGGCCCCCGGGCATTAGGGGATCATGGGGCCCCTGTGTCCTTGCCCAAACTCAAAAAATCCTATGAAAAAGGTACCAGGGGCATCTCATGGGGCCCCCTACTGACCCCGGGCCCTCGGGCAGTGCCCGAGTTTCCAAATGGTCAGTCCGCCCCTGGAGACAAATGACCATCCCAACACTACAAAGCACTTCTAAAACTCCTTTATTAAAAATAGCATTCCTTGCATTTCTATCACCTTAGCAAGCAATAGACAGTTTTCTCAGTGTGTTTGTTGCATTGTCAGTTTAATAGAGATGTACGCTATATGGAGGAAAGACAATTTCCAACTTCACGCTGGGCTTTTTATTCTGTATGCTGCTCAGGTGTAATGCAAGTTAAATATGATTAGCTGGTCAACCATAAAAAGCATTCAATCAAGTAGCATGTATTTTCCTAAATGTATGTTCCAAAGCAATGCAGATTCACAATTGTCTTTTTTGTTTTGTTGATTTGTTCCTTTACAATCATTCATATGCAGAGATCACACATGTGCAAATCCTATGAGCAATTTACAATAGTGTTTGGATTATATGGTGCAATTTTGTATAGTATGTAATATCCCCATAGTGCATGTCAGTCTCCACCAGTATCTGCACGTAGCTTTATTCTACTAGGCATTGTTTTATATGTAACAATGCATACCACAAACATAAACATCAAATGGAAAACTTTAGAGTAACTGGCAGCACATAAAAATCACCCTGGGACATGTAGCTGATGTAGCACTGAATGCTGAATCCTAGATAGTAAAGAAATGCAATCTCTCTGTGCTTGCTAGAAAAAGAACGGTCATCCATCAGTTGGATAAAAAGACTGTGACATGTGCAGTTGTTACAGTGTGTAAATGCCTGGGGTCTTATATCATGAAGACACAAGCTGTATACTGTGTTATGCATCCTTGCAAAAATGTAACCATGCATTATAGGATAAAAATAAAACATCTATTCTTTTATTCTACAAATATTAACACATGGAAAAAGCGACTGATGTTGGCATCAAACAACACACACACACGCATGCACACACACACACACATACACACACACACACACACTTCAGAACTGTATAAATGGCCAACAATGGACATTTTTATGAACTCTGGTTTCCCTGAATCCCACACTTACTTAATGGGAACTGTCCATCAATAATTTATAACTTACAAGCAAACCCACTTACTATATGTACTTAAAGAGCTGAATAAATAAATAGATCATTTCTTTCAATGGAAGATTGTGCAAATGGTGTTAGCTTCCTAGCGGCTATTATCAAATTTACATTTGGGTATTGATATATATTTCATTGCAGTGTCTTTCTAGAAAAATTTCGAGAACCACAAAAGAGTTATTTAATAAGACGAGAAGTGCAGTGACCCATTGTAACCTTTCGGCAATCTTGCAGCGTTGTTCATGCAGATGTAAATGGAGGAGAGTTAGCATATGATTGGTTTTAATGTCTTTCTGTATTTTATATATAATCATATGCTCTCAATGGTATATTGAAATAATATGATGTGCTTTATGTGCATATGGAAACTGTTTTTATGCCCCTTTATTTTTAAATAATCTGGACAGAGGTGAACAGCGTCTATCTGAATTATTTTTAAATGCACACTTTCTTTCTGCTATTGGAAAGACTTGAGATTAATTAAGAGTCCATTACTACTACTACCTTCTAATGGAATGAGATAATTAAATGAATGCCCTCATATCCAGATTTGTTCCAGATCTACCCAAATGGCATTATGGATGGATTATGGATTAATGGCAGATCAACAGTAAACGTTTTCTATATCATGTTTTTGTTTTATACTCTTCTTTATTTTTGTAATTATAATTTTTATTGAAAGTTTTCAAAATATTACAAATGCAATATGGGGAAAAAGACAGTTCTTGTCATAAGGAACATTCAATGAGAGAAAGGAAAATTGCAAATTACATCCGCTCGAAAGAGACATAATGGGTTTCACATAGGCCGGTACATCTAATAAAGGCAATATATCACAATAAAAAGAAGAAGAGAAGGAAGTTCCACAAGAATAAGGTCAACATCCTGGAACCAATTGAAGTTAGAATAGACCATTCTCAGAATAGTCCCAAGCATCCCAAAATTTATTATGTAGTAGAGTGTCACTTGACTGAGCTGTAATTCTCCTAACATATTCAATAGCACTCAATGTCTGAGAAAGTGAAGGTGCCATAGGGGAGAGCCAGCTCTTCTAGCTGCCACTAAAACATGTGTTGACAATTTCTTAGAGGGTTTGGGGATATCGGAGACGAGTAAGCCCAATAAAAAGTAGAGGGGATGAGAGGAAGAAGATATGTTCGCAGTCTCTGGTCATCTCCTGTACTATGTCCACAGTCTCTGGTCATCTTTTGTACTGTGTTCGCAGTCTCTGGTCATCTCCTCTAGTATGTATGCAGATTCTGGTCATCTCCTGTACTGCATACGCAGTCTCTGGTCATCTCCTGTACTATGTCCGCATGTACTATTTGGTTACCAGCTCCCCCCCCTCCTCTGCTCTACAAAGGTCCGCAGTGTTATGTCATCTCCTGTACTATGTCCGCAGTCTCTTGTCATTTCCTGTACTATGTCCGCAGTCTCTGGTCATCTCCTGTACTATGTCCGCAGTCTCCGGTCATCTCCTGTACTATACCTGCAGTCTCTGGTCATTACCTGTACTATGTCTATTGGTCCAGAATATTTTTTTCTTGTTTTCCTCCTCTAAAACCTAGGTGCGTCTTATGGTCAGGTGCGTCTTATGGAGCGAAAAGAATGGTGTGTGTATATATATATATATATATATATATATATATATATACAGTATATATATACAGTATTTAGTTTGTTATTGAAGATTTCAGTTAACTGGGAAATAAAAGGGTTATAAATATGTTCATATGTTCCCTACAACTTTTTTTGGTTTAATATGTAGGACTTGCTAAAGGCTATAGTTAAATTTAACTCTAGCAAGCTAAGATGATAATTATTCCTTCAGAAAAATAGCTTCTAATGTTCTATACAACACCAGTCAATCTATCGTCACCCTAAAGATACTGTCTCATTGAATGGAAAGTTAAATTGATCACTGGAAAAGTAAAACTTTTCCTTGATGCAAAAGGCAAATATTCCCTAGGTTGGTGCAAAACAGAATTCTACTTTGCGCAGAGCAACATATGAATCCTTACTGTTTTAGTACAAGTAATAGAAGATTATGGCTTATTTCTAGGTTCTAAACTATGATATGAACTAGAAAAAAATACTAAAACATTTACGTTGCAATTGTTATTATTTTAGTTGTTTGCTTAGCAAACTTTGTTGTTTAAGTGGTCTACCTTTTATACTTACCTGTGAAGTTATCAACAATGGCTGAAATCTCTTTTGATTCTCCCAGGAAAATCAGTTGAATTTTCTGATTTGATTGCTGTTTAAATATTCAAGAGACACAATATTGATAATTACTAAGCACCTGCAGAACCATGGGACTGCTGGAGCTGAAAATAATGTAGTTCTGCCTTGGTGTAACATGTGTGAATTAAAAAAGGTAAAATAATTAGAAATACTGCCATTAAGTGGAAATGAACACAATTAAGAAGTGTCCCAACTGGGCTATGATTCATTCATGACTTCAAGATCATGTCTATAGCATAATACACCAGATATTATTTTTGTACCATCACAAAAACATTACTAAGCTTTATCACCCTAAGTCTTTAAATTTTCAATACTTTGAAGGAGAGAAAATTAAAATGAAAAACGAATACCACTTTCAAATGTGTAATTAATATCATATCATCTTATCATATTCTTTGGTAATTAATAATAAATTTGAGCTCCAGAGAAAATGTTTGCATTTAGCAAAATGAAAATACACATAGCTAACACTATCTTCACAAAGTGTAAGCTCTATATGTGTACAGCATGGGGCTAATTTCCTAATGGTAAATAAGCTGTTCACTTTGCAGGGCAAGTTGCATTCTACAAGAGGATTTTCACAAAGAGTTTAAGGAATGCGGAGAAGTTTCACATTGCAAATAATACCCAATCATGGTGAAGAGAAAAAAAAAAGTTTTTTTTACTTGCACATGATTGAATGATGGAAGTCAGCAGAGCTTCCCCTCAAAAATTAAGCTCTGTCGAAAATTCACTTACAAAGTGCAACTTCTCTTGCAAAGTGAATAGTCAATTTGCCTTTAGTAAATCAACCCCTCCAAATGACTCCCGAGTATCGCTCCATCATGGGTTTCCCTCCTTGACAGCCCCCGTTCCTGGAGCCCTTTTTCGCTTGCTTGACTGAATGTTTTACCTGACCTTCCCCATTGGATCTGAGCACCCTTCTCTTCATTCTTAGTTAGAGGAAATGCAATTTGCCTTATCGCCAGGACCCTGATGAATTGATCCCAGTCTTGATCCCCTAGGGTTGTTCCCTAGGCCCTGTCCTTTCTTTCTGTCCCTCCCCTCCCCTAGTTACCTCCTGCTTGTGATCCTTTCCCCCATGTCCTTCTCTTTGCTATTTCCCTATTCTTCTCTATTCTTTTTCTTTCCCCACAAGTCACACCATCGCTAGCACCCTCCAGTATACATTTTTTTTTTTTCTTCAGCTTGATATTGCTAAGCACACATATCATTTCTGAAAACATTATATGTACCCCTTGACTTGGCAAACAGTTTCTAGAGACACTGATCTGCAATCCCCTCCTATGTAGACTTACCTGGTTTCGAGCCACGCTCCATCTCCCATTGATCCTCATACGAATCCAGGATATTATAATATGTTTTCAGATCAGATAGACATCTATGCCCTTATGTAGAGCTGTACACCCAAACCGTGGTTTGGAATAGCCCTTCCTCTAGTTTGGATGTAATCTTTTGCAGTCTGCATCCTCTCTTCACATTATGCATCGATTGTGTGTTTCGGACTAATTGTATAGCCTAAAAACTTGTGTCTTTTCTACATGCCTTGACCATTGTGATCTACATGAATTCCCCTTTATGCTGTACTTTTGACTTGTATTGTTTTCTTAATTCTAATAAATGTTATGGAAAAAAATAAAAAGTAAATCAACCCCCATTACTCTTGGCTATGTGTTTATGGACACTAGTAAAGATAGTTACAAAATTCACAGGCAAGTCCTATTCTTTTGAATTTTGAACACAGCTAGAATCAATATATATCTACTGTATAGTGCTTACAGAATATAATTAGCATAAAACTCTGGAAAAACAACAATTCTTTCTGTGAAAAAAACAAACATTCAGGGGAGGACTAGGCTGGTTTGCTCTCTGGGTCAGTACAAGGGAATGGTTGGCTAGAGGCCTAGAGTGGTGATACTTTACCATTTAGACATCAGTCTGAGTGAGGCCCACAGTCAGTGACTTATAATGGGTATTATATAGCCACCTCTTCCCCATTATTACATTATATTACAGTGTCTAGCAGAGGAAAGTCTCCCAGCATCAACTTCCTGTGTGGCTCTAAATTATAATATGAATAAATGCAGAGAGCTGCAAAGAAAGCTAATGCTGGAAAATGTGAAACGATGTTTCCCAAAATAATGTTCTTTAGGAACACTAACTTTGCATCACAATATCCAATTAATGGGGTAACATAACACACTTTGCAAGGTCCACTTTCTTTATCCCACACAAATCTATCCATGAAAGGGTTGGCTCTGTTTTCCTCCTGGCCTAAAGTTCCTTTTTCTTTCTTGGAAACACTTACAAAGTTTAATTGTCTGCCATTAAATTAGATATAATTTACAACTAGAACCTGCAAGTTGCTACTCTTTCTACATACAATAATTGCTTTACAGTAAACTTGTATCAAGAGGAATCCAGGACTGCTGTTTCTGGCAATGCTATTCACTGCCTGGTGTGCTGACTCACCAGCTCCACTGTTCTGAGCTTGAACTAGTATGCAGATAATGTACATCAGAATAAAGGCAGAAGTCCTTATCTAAAAACTTGTTTTGGTTGGTGACTAAAAGTATTGATGCCAAATGTATGAAACTAGTGTTTTTATGAATGATAACTTAGCATTAGCAGTGATCAAAATTCTGTTTTAATCCCCCTTTTTTTTTTTTTTCTGTCATGTCAACCAGTATGATGCAAATGTGGCATAGACATAAATCATAATGAAAACAGTGCCACATTTATCCTAGAAAAATTGCTAAAGACTTTAGCATAGTGGTAACCATTTCAGCATTCAAAAACCAAGAAAGAACACCATACTAGGTCCTATTTAGAAATACAACCTTGACATTAAAGACATTTTAGAAACGTTTCAGTTTAGACCAAAGTCATTCTTGAATATTATTCTTTGTACAAACCCTATCAGTAAGAAAGTTAACCACTTGCCCTCCTGAGGATTTACCCCCTTTCGTGATCAGGCCATTTACTGTGTTACTTTAACTGACAATTGCGCGGTCATGCAACTCTGCACCCAAATGAAATTTACATTCTTTTTTCCCCGTGAATTGAGCTTTCTTTTGGTGGTATATAATTGCTGTGTGTTTTTTATTGTTTCCTCTAAAAAAATTTTTTTTAGAAAAAAACAATATTTTTGACTTTTTGCTATTAAACATGCCCAGTAAAAAAATTTTAAAAATCAAATTTCGTCATAAAGTTACACCAAAATGTATTCTGCTACATGTCTTTGCTAAAACAAAATCCCAATACGTGTAAATTAATTGGTTTTCATGAAAGTTACAGCGTTTACAAAAGGCAGTATATATACTAATATTGTTTTTTTTTTATTTTTACTAGTAATGGCGGCGATCAGCAACTTATAGCAGGACTCCTGGACTGCGGTGGACATCCTGACACTGGGGCAAACTGACTTGGTGTCACTGACATCCCCAGTGACACCAATACAGTGATCAGTGCTAAAAAAAGCACTGACATTGTACTAATGGCACTGGGTAGGAAGGGGTTAACATGAGGGGCGATCAAAGGGTTAACTGTGTGCAGGGAGTGTTTTACTAGGGGGCTGTGTCAGTGTGCTTCCTTGTAAACACACTGCTCTAAATGGCAGTGCTTTGCATAGCCATCCAGGGCAGTGTGCCTGAACTGACAGGGAGGAGAACTGGTAGTAAACAAAACTGTCCTCCTCCACGTCAGAGATCTTCAGAAATCACCATAATTACTAGCCAGGATCCGGTGGTTGACAGCCGCAGCTGCAAATGGCGGCTCGCATGCGTCCCCTACCCGCAATTGCGAAATCACATATATAAACGTGATTTTGCGCACCCGCGCCGTCCTGTAGCAGTATTTTCTGCTATAGGGTGGACGAAAAGTGGTTGAAGAGAGGATATACAAGGGATAAAGAAGGAACATACAACATATGTTTACAAAATGGCAAAGACAAATAACTAGGTAAACCATAGATAAAAAAAGCTTCTCATTTAAAATCAGTTGAGCACTGAATGCCTATAGAAGTGATGTGTGTGGTGAGATAAACCAGAGCAATTGTTGGCTGTTATTAAGTGCTTCCTTACTCAATTATTGAGAGCCTGCTTAGAAACAAGTCATATATCTTTTTCTTAGTGGTAGATAAGTTGTCGAAGATAAACTAGCCACTAAAAATTAGCAGTCTGCATCTGCAAATGCTATTGTTATACATTAGATTATTTGGTGGTGCTACACCAAGATTCTTATTATAAGCACTGTCAAAGCTAAAAAAAAAAACTGCTAAATACATGGAAGAATTGAATAAAGGAAGTGGTTAC